TGTGGTAGGTTGTTTTGTTGTGGTAGGCTGTTTGGCTGTGGTAGGTTGTTCCGTTGTTATTGGAGGTGGAGCTGCTGTTGTGGTAGGTTGCTCTGTTGTGGTAGATTGTTTCTCTGTTGTTATTTGTGTCGATGAAGATGTTGTTGATCTCTCATAAGCTGACGACGTCGTCTCTTGTACTGGCGACGTTGTAGTTGCTGCAATGGCAGTTTGTACAGGAGCAGGTACGACAGCATGGCGAGTGACTGACGCACTAGAAGCCATACTAGCTGAAGTAGTAGAGGGCATAGCTTTACTAGATGATTCCTTTATCGAACCAATTTTTACAGGACCAGCGCTTTTAAGAACTTCTGTTTCACTTGTGGCAGTACTCGACGATAGTGTTGCCGTGGGTTTAATCTGTTTCTGAGAATAGCTTTGCATGGGTTTTTGAGTCGAAATCACTACATGAGGACTTGTTTTGTCAAATAGCTTACTTCGATCTGAAAATATGCATAAAAACTACTGTTAACGATCAAATTAAAGTGTATTTCTAAAATACATATTTTTTTAAGAAAACAATGAAAATATTTTTTTAATTTAGTTTTCAATGCTATTCACATACCACATTCTTGTTTCATACCAGCACCAACTTGACTCAACGATCTCCCTTTTCGACTGCTTGGTTCTGCGCATGCTCCCTTGATCTTGAGCCCAGATGAAGGGTGGATATTGTTCTTCCAATATTTATAATAATCACAATTACAATTGACATTATTGCCGGTCAAATCCCTATGGAGATAAACAGGAGTATATGTTAAGGTTATGGAAGTAGAGGCAGGTAATGGAGTAGAGATGTTTTGTGTCTGCGACCTTATTTGTTGTAGGCGATAATGAACAAAGGAGAGCAAGAAGTGTGAACTAGAGAACAAGCTCTAGAGTGAGGTTATTAAACCCGTGAAACAAAACTTGACTATTAAAGCGTGATAGACAAATAGACACAAAAGGAAACAATGCAATTAGAGCGTACTAAGGTGTATTAGTGTAATATCCATTTCACGGGTTTCTTGACTTTACTCTAGCTAAACAGTGCAAAATAGCACAATGTAGGGTAGACAAAAAACGCATCTAATTCCGTTACAATTTATTAATTACTCAAATTTTTCAAGGTTTTAGGGTTTACACTAAAATAAGGCATTTTTATAATCAACGCGAACTCTATTTCACTCTCATTTTCTCTTTCTCTTTCWTCTCCCATTGTTTCTATTTCATCTATCTTAAATTCATCCTATAACACCTCATTTTTCCACTTTTTGTCTCATTTCTCTTATATTTTATTAATTACGTCTCGCTCGCAGTCAAACCACACAAGCTCAGTGATATGCAAATAGTGCTCATTACTAAGACTGCAAAAATCYCYCTAAGTAAAGWTAATGCTATGTAGCCTTGTCTGGCGAGCTTTTTTCYYAGACGTATGTGGTATWCCGTCCATATCACTTATGCATTATTCTAGTTTACATGTCATATCAGCGTCCATTAATATATGTGACTCCTCGCCCACAAGATCTTGTGGTTWTYKGGTCTTTGTGATTGACGTCTGAGCAGACCACATGTGGTCAAATTAAAKCWTCTKACTAGTTTTCCTTTCGATATTTTTTTGTTTTAAAAGTCTCWWTRTGACTCCACGCTCCACGATAACATAGAAACGTTTGCACGATTAACTGACCAGAAATTGCGAGTTGTATTCTTCGTTTTGAGAAACATGTGGTCAATGAATTCCTCTGCTATATTTATTTATTAAACACAAAATATAACTGTCTAAACAGTCCATGCGTTGTAGGTGTGTATAGTTTGTTGTTGGTATAGCTAGTAGTGCTTCTAGATATGCGCTTTGAACAACAATTTTGAATATGAAGAACTATATAGGTTTTGAAGGGCAAATGGTTCTTATGTGCGAAAAACAACAATTGACAAGAACTTTTTATGCGTAGTGTTATTATAGTATGGACTGTCTCAACATGACCTAGAGACTGTACATTATTTATGTCTGAAGGGAGTTGAATGATTACTAATCAAAGGCAATTTTTTTCGGGTACCCCTCATGATAAACGTACTTTTTCTTTTCCAAGACCTCTTGTCATAAATAGACATATTCCACCCCCTCCCCCGCCAAAAACAACATACACACAGTTGGTAAAGAAAGCACCATGAAAATGACAAAGACGGTGTAGATGACGGATAACATTCAAAAAGATTAAAACTTCCATAAACATTTGGGATAGCTGTTGAAAGACTAATCACATCTGAAATATCACTTTTTGAGTGTTTTGCTTTGTATTTCTTGTTTCTCGAGTTCTAAAGTCCTGTTTACACTTGCGATTTTTGCAGAGCGATTCTCGCGGCGATCGTCGCGCAACCATCGCCTGAGTTTCGAACATGCTTGAAAATGGGCTGCAACTTCRMGGCGATTTTCCATCGTCGCAACAATCGCAGGGCTGTTTACACGTACGAGTGGCTGCAATAATTGCAAGTGTAAACGGGCCTTGATTGATGTTATTGTGCTTTGATAGTTGCCAACAGAAACTGGATGCTCTCAAATGCAAATGTTTGCCCGAGAACGCAGTTCAAGGAGGACTATGATGTTTTGAGGAACATCCAGTTTCCAAAGGCAACCATCACAGTAAAATACTCAAGATTTCAACTTTACTGTTTTTAATATTCAACAAACACAATTTTCTAAAGCTGTGGGATCTATGCGCTGATAGTATGCATCCGCGGCGGGAACGACTATCGCGTCACGTGGTCGACACTCCACCAATGAGAGCGGAGGAAAATTTGTAATTAAATTATAAACTGCACTGGTGTTTTTTGCACTGTATTTCACAGTTTGAGTCTTAGCTAGCACTGTACTAGTAATACTTACAATTCTTTTAAGTTTTTTAATGATGAAAGAGCAGACCACTTGATTTGCTGTCCACTATTGGATAAATTTCTGAAAAAAAATATGAAGAATCAATAATAGTAATTCAGCAAATCCTCGGAAACCTCACCTTAAACAACCCTTTCCCCAAATCATTAGGCCTTTTCTCATTTTACATTGCATTGTGGTCTAGATTCGGTACAAATATCTTTTGTTCAAGCT